TGTTTTAAGGCTTTTATTGTACTATAACACTATTTTTTAACATTTAGATATTTTTATATTCAATAAAAATCCAGCAAATTTTAAAATCTCCGTCGTAAAATTTTTAGAAAATATTCAAAATGTGCATAATCGTAATCTCCATCACATATAGAAAGTTACACAGTGAAAGTTTTATTTTTTCAAAATTATTCCTGTTTTTCGCTAACACACACAAAATTTTAAACCAAATGTTCACTAAAATTTGCACATATTTTAAAACCGAGATGGGCATAAGTGTCTTACCTCGAGACGAATAAATTTTCCAACTAAACCTACAAATGAAAAACAGTCTGAAGTCGCCCAAAATCCAAATTTTCTCTTTCTCTCACTTATCTTTTTCTCTCTTATATCCTAAGCAAGTCTCTCTTTTGGAAAAAAAAATCTAAACGAAACAACATTTTATAGTATCAATGAGTGGATTAGGATATTATATTAAAATATTAATTATTCTAATTATTTAATCTAAAAATATTAATTTTATTCAAATTCTTTTGCATCTTAAAATTCAAATTTTCAAATGCTTATAAGAAAATTCGGCAGTGTCCAAAAATTATAAAAAATTTATGGAAGCTAAAACACGACATTATAAATGTTTATTATTTGGACTTATAAGTTATAATGACTCCTGAAATAATTATTGACTACTCTATATTAAAAAATTCTTATAAGATAATTTATGAGTTTTCACACTCTACACTCTAAAGCATTCCAACCAAACAATCCCTTAATAATAGTAATATTTAGATTTTATAAAAGGCTTACTAATTCTCGTATCAATGTCACATATATTTTTCTCATTATTATAATAGGCAACACTTATATCATTATTGAATTAATCATATAATGTCTAATTTCAACACAATCATAACTATTTAATACAAATTTAGCTGACTAATATTTTTATATGCATTATAATTATACTAAGCATTGCTTGACATTTGAAATAACTTTTGTAAATTTCAACCAAATATAATAAGTTGTTGTGAATGACGCTTATATATTGTGACATAAGTTCATATTCTACTTAATAGATAATACCTTTTGGCATCGTTGGGAATAGTTTTCTTTATACTTTTTAAAACAATTTTTAATACAAAAATTATCATTTAAAAAAAATTATGCTTAAATGAATGAAGTTTCTAATGAGATGCAATATGGAATAGCATAACCATATCGGAATTATTTTTAACACTTTTAGTTCTTAACTACTAGTTTTTTAATCTATTTGGTCATTTGAACATAAACTATATGATATTTTTGGAAGTTAAGTTAATTATAAATCAACATTTAAATGAAATTTAATTAACTTACTAATAAAATAATAACAAAGGAAAAAGATTGGGATTTGATAAGCAATAAAGCTACAATAGAGAAAAAAAAATTAAATTGTCCATAATTTTTTGGGAGAGGGCAAAATGAGCCCTAACAATTTTGAGGGACCAATTAACTCTTTAAAATGAGATTATTTTGGAATTCAACATAATTGTACAATATATATATATATATATATATATATATATAATATGGACATTACCATATTGAAGTATCAATTTAATCAAGCATAATATGGATATTATGCATATTGAGAATAGTATGTTTAAAACATTTTTAATATAACCAATATTAAAGGTAAAACTAAAGATTATTTAAATGCTAGAGTGAAAATTAAAGAGTATTGTAGAAGAATAACTCATTGATTGATTGAGAGTGAATATTGATGGAAAAAATGTTGAAGGAGAAAGCACCTTTCTCATTTATGTTAGAACAAAGAAGATGAGTATGTCAATGGTTCAAAATATTGAAAATGCTTGATGGATATGGATCTATCTTATACTGATGTGTAGATGTGTTAGTTCTCGAAGATTATATGGACTAAAAAATCATGATTGTCACATTGTTCTGGAGGTTATCCGTCCAATTATTCTTTGATTCTTCTTACCATATTACATATCAAATCCATCGACTAAACTTAGTATATTTTTCAAATATTTGTGATCAACAAAACTAAGTGAAGATATTTTATGCAATTGTGGGCAAATCATATCATTCATTCTTTGTAAGCCAGGAAAAAATACTTCCTCCTGGCAACTGTTACTCTATGAAACATCTACCTGCCCACCGATCATATGAGACAAGAGGTGGAGGTTCAGTGTAATATCGTTGGATGTATTCATTTGAGAGATATTTTTTTATTTGATTCTTCATACCATTACTTTATTTAGGGAGTTCACTCCACATTGGTGGTTTTGTGCCTTACACCAAGCATAAAATGACGACTGGTAAATTATTCCTCTTATTATACATATATGTTTATTATTAGAACTAGGTTTTCTTGCATGAATATATACTTGGTAGAGATCCTACATCGTTAGAGTTGCATACATACACATTAATGCTAAGTTCACCAGTGGATTGATCATAAAGCAAAAAAGCTCATGTGAGTATCAAATATTCTATAGTGCTCATGAATAACATGTAAATTTAAGTGGATTTTCATACACTTCATCTCTCACATTATGATTTATATGAATATGAGAAAGTCAGTATTCTATTGTTGAGGAATCATCTTCATGATTGACACAGTACTCCGACTATCACATGAGGCCACGGGCTGTGAAGGGAGGCAAAAGGGGAGAGTGTATGGATTATACTCTCAAGCATATGTATATGAGACAACCCCACATCATATGATGATAGAGAAATTAAGGAGATTGTCAACCAAAGGATGGTTGCTCTCACCAAGGAAATAAAGGAGATGAGATAAATATAAGCTAATGTACTGATACAATGATCTGAGATGCTGATGCAACAATTTGAGATAAATGCATAACCGTGATTATACATAAAGAAAAATTGAAAGAATAATGGTCAGCAGCCAGAGCCTAAGTTGAGGAGAGTAAAGACAATGAAGATGATTATATTAGATGTTTTAAATTAATTGCAAAATATTATAACCTTTATGTTTAATTTGACAATGATATTTTTTGGATAATTTAATCTAAATGTGTGTAAGACAATGATCATGTTTGCATATTTGTAAGATTTATGTTTCAAAAGAATTTTCTTTATTATTATTAGCTTACATTATTATTTTAGAGTTAAAAATATTTGTTATAATATGTTTGCATAAAATGTTGTAAATAATTGAAATGATGAATGGTTGCAAATTTTTTTGTAAGTTGCAATAGGTTTCTGGCAGGTTTCCGGCCGAATATCCATTGGAAATCTTCAATATGAGTAGCGACGAATTCATTATGGGCGGATTTTTTGCTGGAATTTCTTGCGAAAAATATAGGCGAAACCTTATAGAGTCAATTCAACCGAATTTTTGCCGTAAATTGCGACGATATTTTTTGGGCAAGATTCGTCGGAATTCCTTCTGAAACATCCACAATGGGAAACCCCCCCACATAATATATTTTCCTACACACATTTTACTGGCGTAACATTTTCCGTTGGAAATCCATTGGGAGTATTTATTTCTGTCAAAAATCAACAAAATTTTGGCAAAAAAATCCGTCGGAAATGGGTACTTTTTCTATAGCGCTATGAATGATCTATCTAAAATAATATGGTACTTTGGATCCCCATCAAAGTCTATATGAAAGACAACCTCATCGACTTTTATTAGTACATCTTCCATTACACTTTCAATATATTTTACCAAATTATTTGCTAGTTATAAGTGTATGTAATCAACTTTACTCATTGAAAGCCCATCTTCTTATAAATTGATGATGGCATAAGATTAATTCTTGCCCATGGTTTGAAAGTGTGCCATTGAAGTGTTCGTTATGAATCACACAATGAATAACTAAACTGGCGCAATTTTTCCATCATGTTGATAACGTTATTTATAGTAGCACACTATACCCTCCATTAAATGCTATAGCTATATATTCTTTCAGGTTTCTATTGTTAGAGAGTATATCTTTCATAAAATTGACATGTTTTAGTGAGTTGGTCTTAATGTTTATGGAGAGAGCCCTAAGCTACATTGTCATAGCCCAACATACATCATATAATTCCATATAGTATCCTCTTGCTGTTTAATTGAGGCTTGCTACCAATGAAGAGCATTAAGGTCAATAATATTCATTTATAGATATCTATGTGAGCTCTCTTAGTAATTAAGAATGATTTACCTAAAATAATTGGGTACTTTGGATCCCCATCAAAGTCTACATGACATATAACCTTATTGACTTCTATCAACACACCATTCATAATGATTTTAGGATATTTGTCTAAACTATTTGCTAGTTGTGAGGATATGTAGTTGACTTTATGCCTTATCGACCTATCTTCTTATTAATTAATGATGACATATGATTAATACTCTCCGAGGGATTATAAGCATGCCATTAAAGTGCACAATGAAAAATAAAATCATCATAATTTTTACATTTGGTTGATAGCTTTCTTTACAGTATCACACTACACCGCTTTGAGTGCTATAACTATATACTCCTTAAGGTTTTTATTGTTTAGAGTTTAGGGTTTAGGGTTCAGGGCAAATGAATGATTTGTTTTATTTGTTTTGGAGGAAATTATGGCATCATTTAAACACAACATATAAATGAGACTCAAATCCAAAACCTCCTCTTAATTAGGACCAAAACTTCTAACTAATAAATCAAAGAGAGCTTCCTAAGTGGAGAAATTATTCTGTGCAGAGTCCGAATGGGAAGAAATGTTCAAATATATGAGTGTACACACTATGTACATATAATATATAAAAATTTGATACACTGTATCACAGTGTATCAAATTACTATATATTATAAGTACATATTTATACATAGTGTATATCAAATTTTTATACATTATATATATCCAGTATGTACACATCACATATTAGAATAATTTTTTTCGTGGACTTCACATATTATTTCTGGCCTCAGTGAGGTCTCATGAAAGTCCTTATTTAATAAAATTTCCGTCAGTTTGCAGGCTAAAAATTCTGGCTTATAGCGTGATGTTCACTTCATATTTACGCCACCGCCATTCCGAATTGCTGCGCGTCTGGCCTGGATAAAACCCTATAAAACCTAAACCAGGCGGGCTTGTGGGATTTAGAATCTTCTTCACTTCTCCGACCTGCTTCCTAACCATTTAGTCCAGTTTCCACTACGCCGTCGTCGTTTCATTTCCAACTGCTCATTCCCCATCCTCCAGCTACGACAATCCCCGACTTCGGTCATAAACAGTTTTATTGAGCTTGAAGCCAGTGGAGATACAGGGGAGCTTCAATTTCCCATGGAGCTGCTTCGCTCACATCTCTCTAGGGTTCGGATACCCGAGCCCACGAACCGCATATACAAGAACGAGTGCTGTGTCTCCTTCGACACGCCGGTGATTTTCTTGAACCAATCCTGCTGGTAATGTATGTTTCCGAATTTACTTTCTTATGCAAATGGTTGTTCTATTTGTTAGAAGTCGGACGGGGGTTTGTACGTGGACTTGTGTTCGTTTCTAGCTTTTGGGAAGGAATACGTGCTTTGGAACTACGAGAAGACCGGTAATCCTGTTTATCTGCATATCCAGCAGAGGATCAAGCCTGTTCCCGAGGACCGCCCGTTCAAGAAACCCACTCTTTTGGCTATAGGTTAATCACTATATTTCTTTTTGGATTCATTTGCAAAGTTCTTTACATTTGAAAGATAGGACATACGATTACACGAAGAGATTATATATATGCACCGGATTTTTTTTGCAAATTAAAGATACGTGTATTACAATTCATTTTGTATTGTTGCAAACATTTCATTTAACCTGCAACTGCTTGTATCTTTTGCAAATTTGATTGCTCTATGTTATTTTTTTTCCTGGTAATCTTTGAGCAGACATTTATTAGTTTCTTGGTGGAATTGGAGCTAAACCTTTATCAAACTGTTTGTCTTATTACCTATATGAAAAAGGTGCAAGAAATTGAATTAAAATACGTGATTATAATTGTTGCTATTTATTGCGATTCAGAATCATCTCAAGGATGGGATTTCCGATTACAAAGACTTGTTTTCTAGCTATAAAAGATGATGGTTATTATCTGATTTTATCTATATAAGTGATAATATTATTATTTATGTGGTTCTTATGGCTAGACAAGCTATATGGAGATCTATGGTATAACTATCAATGGCAAAGAAAACTTTGCAATAGAAACAAACTTCTGCACCTCATTTTAAAGATTACAACAGTATAAATGTCTAAAATTTTGCTGCACTTTAGGAGTAAAAGTTGCTGAAGGACTCAGTTATAATAATAAAACCAATGCATATAGAGAACTTGGGTTTTATTGATATCATAAAAGCAAGGAACATGAAAAGAATGTCATGAAAATATGGAAAAGAAGAGAAAGAAAAGGTGGGAAAATGTATGAAAATTGGACACAAGAGGAATTAAAGAAACAGAGCACATGGCTTTAGGGAAACAAATGAGCTTCAATATTATTTGTCCAAAGTTTTGTTGTACTACAATCATGAATATGGTTATCTGAAGCATCCTTGTTGTACGACAATTTGCACAAATTCAACTAAAATCTTTTGTGTTGATGATCGGTTTTACGAACTTGAAATGTGGCAAGAAAGTAATAGATTGAAACTAATGACTTAAGCTAATTGCTAGCATTTTAAAAATAAAAATTGGCATTCTCTTAGTTATAGAATGTTATGTATGTGGCTGATTGAAAAGCATGAGAAGGAAAAACATTGGAAAGGGAATGAAAAAAGTGCTTTGTTAGGTCATGATGATTGGAGGAAAAAAGAAGGATTGCACCCACAATTTATTAAATTAAAGAAGATAGTCTATGTTGTTCATATATTTCATGATTGTTTCCATTTCAAAAATAATGGTACATTTTTTTTGGGAAACACTAAGAGAGCAGGCTTGGAGCAATGGTCTACCCCACGAACCACCACATTTGGGTAAACCTTTTTTATGTTATATACATTATACACTTTCAATTGTCTATTGGAGGGAGGGGGAGAGTTAGGGAAGATTTCAAATGGTTTCTTAAATAAGATCAATTAAATTAAAGCAGATTTATTACTCATATCACTTTCAATTTAAATTCAAAAATAAATTGTCTTGATTTAAAAACTTTCCAAATATAATTCAGGTTAAATTAGGAAAGAATTCAAATTTGAAATTGATTCAAAATTGAATTGATTGTCTTTCCAAATTTACCATGATTAATTTTAGGAAAGTAATGAAGGCTATGAAAATTTGGATCCAAGGGGAGGGGGTGGTGTGGCCAGCGGTTTGGAGGTTTGTGCTCGGGTTAGGTGGCGTCGGGGATTGGGATTTGGCTAGCCGACGGTTGGGGTGGGGTGTGGGGAGGAGAAACAATAACTTGTGGTGGAGAGGTAATGGGGTGAGAAGATCGCTGCCTTGGTGGAGGGCTTGAGGAGGTGGCTGTTTAGGGAAAAAAGGAAAAAAACAAAACAAAGTGAAAACAAAGATAGAATTGTGAGCCTTGAACTCTTCCGAAGATTAACGGGTGATGCGTTGCCCTTCACCAAGGGACTTCAAGCCACGAGCCCAGGCCCATCCTGCGGCTGGTGGAAACTACGATTCCCTCCGTAAGGATTCTCACTAACATCCTCCCAAAGAACAAAAGTGCAGACCAAAATTTTATTAAAACTCTATCATACCATTACACTAGCAAGAGCTTCTATATATAGGTCTAAAAAATAATAGAAACTAAAATAAGACGATCATGCCCCTAGGATGTACATAAGATTAAACCCTTAAGGATAAAAATGGAAGATGCATAATTAAAATAAAAATTATAAAAAAATTTAAAATATGTAGGATGATCACGACCATCGATCTTCATCTCCTTCTCGGATAGGCATGGATGGTTGGATGTCCGTATCAGGGTCGTTATTATAGTCGTGGCCATACTGGGAAGCTTGATAAGGGACACGGGGGTGTCCCTCATCCAGTACGGTGTCATCCCCATACATGGTAGGAGACCTAGACCGTGTGTAAGGTGTTTGGTGATTCCATTGTCTGATGATGGAGCTCAGCAATACCAGCTTGATTTTTCCTAAGTTGTTGACTAATTGTGCTAATTTGACCCACCAGTAGGTCTAAGGTCCTATGAATTTGCTCGGGGTCCATCCTAAGCCTAAGGGATAACTCGGGGTTATGCAGAAAGAAATAATATGATGACAATAATAAGTGATGTGATGCGTGTATGATGGGGATATCAGAGCTTGGAAAGTCTATCAGAGACGTGACCATCGATCTACGGCCAAGATTGAGTCGATGTTTTTTGAGTCGTATTATGTATTTGTCTTTTATTATGTTATGCTGTATTTGTTTTATTATTATTACGCTTTTACCCCTTAAGGGAGGTCGTGTGTAAGCCCAAAGGGCATTCTCGTCTTTTATTTTGAGTCCTTTGTACGAGGCTATATATAGCCCTTATGTTCTCTTTTTCATGTTTAATGAATGAATGATGACTATGAAAGAAATTTCTTGTGTACTCTTGATGTGAGAGTTTGTGAGTCTTGGAGAAATCCCTAGGAGAGGGAAATCAAATCACCCACCAACCTTGGAGGCGGTCGGGTTCGTGGTTCTTCTTCACTATCTCTTTTTCCTCTTCCTTCATCCCCTAGACACCGGCCTAAAGTCTTCCCGAACCCCTAAGCCGCCGGCCACTTAAATCCCCACCACCACCCGCCGCTTAGATCCAACCCCACCCTGTCCACAGCTAACCTCCACCTCTGGCCCATCCCCTTGGCTTTTTCCCCCATCTTCACTTGCCACCAAGTCTTTCCTAAATTAGATTTCATAATTTTGGTAACTCTATTAATGATCAAATTCAAATCAATTTGAATTTGAAATAGTTACATAATTTATAAATCCTATTTTAGGAAACATACTAAATCAGAACCTATTTAAATTTTGAATTAAATTGGGATGAGATCTTTCCTTTCAAACTTAATTTATTATTTTAGGTAAGCATTGATTGCTTCATTAAATCCCTCCCTCCCTCTATTGTCGCCGGCCCCCCTATGGGTTTGCTTTAAAAATATTTCCTAAAAGCCAACCTGTCCTCTTGGAAATAATTCAAACTCCCTCCCCACCTCTCTTGGCCAAAAATCCCCTAGTACCCACCCATTTATTTTATTTCCAAGAGAGATCCTCTCCTTTTGGAAGTAAAATAAATCCCTTTCCCCTCTCTTGCCCGCCGCCCCCTCTCTCTCCTCTCCACCATTAATTTCTTTCAATTAAGGGAATTAATTAAGGAGTTGTTTGAGATTTTTTCCCTCCACAAAATTTGAACCTAGTTTAATCCCCTACTCTATTCATTGGCCGGCCACCCTTGCTCTTTTCTCCACTTCAATGCTCGAGAGAAACTTCTTTCTCTCGAAGGACGTCTTCAAGGAACGCCATCACGATCTTCATCAACACATCAACCCTTCGACACCAATGAATGGTTGATCCGGAACTTGACTATTAAGGGCATTAAAATCTGAATTCATATTTTCCAAATTTATGATGCTCTAAAATTTGAAGGTATTGAAGGATCAATTTGAAATTTTTGAGCCAAGGGATAGTGGGGGTCCGGGGGATGGTCGGCGGCTATGAGAAGGGAGGTGAGCCGGCAGTTAGGGATTGGCCAAGGGGAGGGCTGGCAACTATGGCGAGGGAAGGGGTTCGACAGCTAGGGATTGGCCTAGGGGAGGGCCTACGGTTATGAGGAGGGAGGAGGACGATTGGTTGGAGCTTTGGGGAAGATGAAGGTGGGGGCGATTGTGAGGAGAGGAGAAATCGGCAGTGGCGATAAGGCTGTGTGCTCAGATGCTTCCAGCAGCTAACGGATCTTGCTTGGCCCTCACCTAGGGGCTTCACATAAACTCTCACAAGATCTCTCAAAACTCACCAAGACACATTGCATAAATTGCATTCATCCTCCTTCTCTCAAAGAGGAGAGGAGGTCTATAAATAGATAGAATACAATAAAATATCAAATGACAAAAGTGCCCCCCCCCCCGGGGTCACATAAGCGCACTCCCTCAAGTGAGGGTTAAAACTGAAAAATACATAATAAAAATCAATTACAAATAAATTCTTAGAAATAAAGTAGTCTAATCGTAGCCGTAGATCTCCGGCCCCTTCTCTGATAAACTTTCCACGGTCATATGACCTCATCACTATTTCCCACAGAGAACCGTACACAACGATACACATGGGTAGTTGGTTTACACATAGGTACAGACTACAGGGCATACAAAACCTATTTTTCACATTCATTCTATATTACTCATCCGTAAGAAAATGCTTTATAGCAACATGCAATTGTTCGAAACCCTAAACCTAAAACCTAACATAACATTTACTGAAATTATTTACAAAACAATTTTTTTTTTTTACGGAAATAGAACTCTAAATACTGTGAAAATCCGGTGAAAATATTGTTCTATCTTGATAAAAAAAATACTTACCTTAGCTATGGCATTTGCAATGAAAAATCTCGATCAAACAAAAGGAGCTTTGGACGAAAATGAATAGCAGCGGAGACGTGAAATGAAAAGCCTTGATTTTGAATTTCCGACTGAATGACCGTGGTGCTCTTTTCAATAAAAAGTAACT